CAACCCATCCCCATTAGGCACACAAATCCGACCCTGCATTCGCAACAACCTTTCATCTATAGTAGAAACCTCCTTAGCATCACTGTGCTACACCGTGTCCTTATGGACAAGCAAATGGGGGTCTTCATGCTGATGCTCCCTAATGCGCTCATAAAATGAAGACCTAGAAACCATGCAAGAAAGAACCCGGCTAGGCTGTGAAACATCTAACCTCACGAACTGATTGGCCAAGGCCTTAATTTCTGATGCAAGTAATCTCTCACAAACCAAAATATATTCAAGGCTACCCATACTCACAACATTTCTACTCAATGCATCGGCCACTACATTGGCCTTCTCGGGATGATACAAAATGGTGAAATCATAGTCTTTTAACGGCTCCAACCACCTATACTGCCTCAAGTTTAGATCCTTTTTCTTAAATAAGTGTTGTAATCTCGGTTGATCTGTGAATACCTCACAAGAGACACCGTAGAGGTAGTGCCTCCAAATTTTAATGCATGAACTATGTCTGCCAACCTTAAGTCATGAACGGGGTAGTTCTTTCCATGGGCATTCAACTGGTGCAAATCATATACAATCACCCTACCCTCCTTCATCAAGACACACACAATACTAATCCTCGAAGCATTACTATAAATCGTATATGAACCCGATGCTGATAGAAAAACTAGAATTGGAGTTGTCGTCGAGGCTGTCTTGAGCTTTTGAAAGCTCTCCTCACACTAATCAGACCATCTGAATGGGGCACCCTTCTGGGTAAATCTATTCAAAGGTGCAGAAATGGACGAGAAACCCTCCACAAAATGGAGATAATATCCGGCCAAACCAAGAAAACTCTGAATCTTAGCAGCTAAAGACGGTCTAGGCCAACTCTGAGCTGCCTCAATCTTCTTCGAATCTACCATAATCTCCTCATTGGACACCACGTGCCCCAAGAACGTCACTTAATCAAACCAAAACTTACACTTGGAGAATTTAGCATTAAGCTTCTTCTCCCTCAAGGTCTAGAGTACAATCCTCATATGTTGCTCATGATCCTCCTGGCTGCGGGAGTACACCAGTATAACATTTATGAGCTTAAAACACACACTTAAATTATGCTCGCTATTCAAATATTGTATAGTATAATATCGTATCCACAAGGATTGGATTTAAACAGTATTGTTGTAGTTTCTAGCTTGGTTGCTATCAATGATAATCAACAATTGCAATTTCTATAATTTTTAAGTACAGTTAACTAAGAATCTAAAACTATTGACTAATGAAAATCACAACAAAATTAAGCAAGGAAGATATCAATGGGAGAAAATAGGGGTTCATAGGATAGGTGCAAGACAATTGTTTGGGATCTAACTCTAGATAATTCACTTCTAATGTTCAAGTAAGTCTTTCGAATTCACTCAATTATTAGTTCAAATGTTCAGTAAGAACTCATCTCTCGATTATGTCTTAACCTCGTGAGATGAACCAATTTAAGCACGTAAAGATATGCAAGAATGCGTAATGGATTGAACTTTAGGAGAACCTCTTTCGATTATTTTTCTAACTAGGTTTAATCAATAATTCAACTAGCCTCTTTCGATTATTTAGAAGAATTAATGAACTCCACCAACAAGATAATGCAAATATATCACAAGTTATGCCTCTTTCGATTACATGAACAACTGAATATAGATGCAACAGTTAAATCATCCAAAAACACTTCAATACAAAAACTAGAATTATAATCGACAAACAATCATCAAAACACCAAATCCATCAAGCCCTAAAGAGAACTACTCCATAGATATGGAGAAATGCATCTTAAATATAGTTAAAGTAAATGAAAACACAAATTCAATCCAAACTCGGGTCTTGATTAAGGAAAGAATGATGAAATCCTTGTGCTCGTGTTCTTCCGATTCTTTCTTAGCCTCCATAGGTCGAATACATGTCAAAAGTCTCGAAAATAATGTGTTTTCATGTATTTATACCAAGTAGGGCCGGGCCTTGACGAAATCATCTTCTCCTAGCCAAAATAGGATTTTCACTCTGTAAACATTGCATAGGCATGCCGCATGGAGCGACGCGCCATCTGGGAATTAATGGAGAAATCCAGAGAGTTGGTTCTGACAGGCAGCAGGAAATTTGCATAGGCCTAGCACGCCATGCTCCGCCCCACGCGCCGCACTAGTGCAATGACTAGCTAAAAACACAACACAAAATTATGCTCTCTAGTCGAATGTAGTATAGAAAATATCGTATCCACAGGGATTGAATTTAAACAGTGCTTTCGTAGCTTCTAGTTTTAATTGATATCCAAGATGATCAACAATTTAGAGTTGTGTGAATTAAAACTAAAATTTACTAAAAGTCTAAACTATTGGCTAATGACAATCGCAACAAGAGTAAGCAAAGAAGATATCAATGGTAGGAAATAGGGGTTGATTGGATAGGTGCAACATACTTGTTTGGGAATTATCTCTAGTTACTTCACTCTATGGTTCAAGTGAGTCTCTCGGATTCACTCTATTATTAGTTCGAACGTTCAGTAGAAACTCTTCTCTCGATTAAGTCTCAACCTCACAATATAAACTAAGTTAAGCTCAGTGAAGATATGCAAGAATTTGTAGTGGGTTAATCTTTAGGATAACCTCTTTCAATTACATAAACATGTGCAGCACTCTCAAAGGGCCAATGATTAGCATCTTCATATAACTCATCATGAATTGTAACTTTCTCCCCTTGAGTCTTCTTTATCAATGGGCCTCCAGCTGCATTGCTCAATTTTCTACATGAGGCCGGTGTCAATCCATCCCAAAAGTCCTGGAGTTGCATCCAGAGTTCAATTCCGCTATGTTGATACTTTCGAACAATCTCCTTAGACCTTTCCCATGCTTCAAAACAGTTTTTGTATCTTTCTGGAAGAAGTTATGGATTTCCCTTCTAAACTTGCTCGTTTTAGCTGAGGAGAAATATTTATCAAAGAACTTTATGTTCATCTCCTCCCAAGTTCTAATCGATCATGAGGGCAAGCTTCGAAGCCACTACTTTGCATCATCTTTGAGTGTGAAGGGGAATGCCCTTAAGTACACTGCATCTTGTGACATACCATTATATTAAAAGGTGTTCATAATCTCCTCGAAGTCCATTAGATATGTATTTGGGTCTTCGTTTGGCTTCCCTCTGAAGATACAATAGTTCTGAAGAGTTTGAAGCAACCCTTGCTTCAACTCAAAATTATTTGCTACAAATCGAGGCGGTCTAACACTTGACAAACCTTGATTGTAGACCAGTCTACGTAATCGCCAAGTGGTCTACCAGGCGTGAGAGCTATATTTCTTAACTGGTGTGGACCCGAGGGTCGATTTTGAGCAATTATCTGACCCCTCTCTTCTTCGTAGATAATATGTGCATCTCTAATAGCTGCTTCCAAAGCATCCCATGCTGCTTTTTGTCTTCGTTGGGCTGCTTCTCTCGCAGCCAAAGCCACATTATCATCACCGTTTCCAGCCATAGTTCCTTTGGTTGAGGATTGCTCAACCTTTTCTAAAGTTTCGATGAGATTTTTTTCCTTTCTTATTTGTCGTAGTTGATTTTCAATTTTTGGCTCATATGGTAGCTCTTCTTTCGCAGAAGCTCGAGTCATGCACCAATCTAAACCTGTAGCCTGCGCATAGTTAAAGAACACTAACCGTAAAAATAGAAAAATAAAATTAACTAAAAAGAACAAAATCCCTGAATTAGCACTACATCCTATTTTAAACATTGTTGATTGCCAATCCCTGGAAACGACGCCAAAGTTTGACGAGCTAGAAACACACACTTAAATTATGCTCGCTAGTCAAATATAGTATAATATAATATCGTATCCACATGGATTGGATTTAAATAATATTATTGTAGTTTCTAGCTTGGTTGTTATCCCAGATAATCAACAATTGAGATTTCTATGATTTCTAATCTCAATTAACTAAGAATCTAAAACTGTTGACTAATGACAATCGTAACAAAACTAAGCAAGGAAGTTATAAATGGTAGAAAATAGAGGTTGATAGGACAAGTGCAACATAATTGTTTGGGATCTAACTCTAGATAATTTAGTGAGTCTTTCGAATTCACTGAATTATCAGTACAAACATTCAGTAAAAACGCCTCTCTCGATTAAGTCTTACCCTAGCAAGATGAACCAATTTAAGCATGTGACGATATGCAAGAATGCGTAGTGGATTTGTCTTTAGGAGAACCTCTTTCGATTATTCTCCTAACTAGGTCTAATAAATAATTCATCTAGTCTTTTCGATTACTTAGAAGAATAAGTGAACTCAACCAACAAGATAATGCAAAGATATCACAAATTATGCCTCTCCATTACATGAACAAGTGAATATAGATACAACAGTTAAATCATCAAAAAATACTTCAATAAATAAAACTAGAGTTATAATCCACAAACAATCATCAAAACACCAAATCCATCAAATCCTAAAGAGAACTACTCTATAGATATGGAGCAATTCATCAAAAAATATTTAGAGTAAAGGTAAAATACAAATTCAATCCAAACTCGAGTCTTGAGTGAGAAAGGAATGACGAAATTCGTGTGCTCAAGTTCTTCCAACTCCTCCTTAGCCTCCTTAGGTTGAATATGTGTCAAAAGTCCCGAAAATAATATTTTTCCATGTATTTATATCAAGTAGGATTGGGCCCATATGAAATCACCTTCTCCTAGCCAAAATAGGATTTTCACTCTGTAAAAACTGCACAGGCGCGCCGCATGGGGCGACATGCCATGCAGGGCATTAGTGGGGAAATCTAGAGAGTTGGTTCTGACTGGCAGCAGGAAATTTGCACAGCCGTGGTGTGCCATGCACCGCACTAGTGCAACTTTATCAGAGTACGACTCAAATCTTGCGTTTTGACGTCCAGACTTAGCCCTCGGCCTCCGAACACGATCCCGGCTTAATCCCTTGGGCTTTTACTCAGATGTCAAAGCTCCATTGGATGTACTCCATGAAATGCCAAAATATGCTAAGTACGTTAAAGATATAGTGGTTCATAAGAGGAGATTGACTGAATTCGAGACAATCGCACTTACTGAGGAATGCACTTCGAGGGTCCAAAACAAGCTTCCTCAAAAGCTTAAGGACCCTGGTAGCTTCACCATTGCTATGTAGATTGGTAATATTGATGTGGGTCGTGCTCTTTGTGATTTGGGGACGAGCATAAATTTGATGCCCTTGTCCTTGTTCAAGCAATTGGGTCTGGGAGCTCCAAGATGAAACACTGTGATGCTGCAACTAGCTGATAGATCCATAGCTTACCATGAAGGGGGGATTGAATATGTGTTGTTGCAAATTGGGAAATTCATCTTCCTAGCAGACTTCATTATCCTAGATTATGAGGCTGATGAACAACTTCCAATCATATTGGGTCGACCTCTCTTGGCTACAAGTGATGCAATTATTAAAGAAAGAGAGGGAAACATGATTATGAAGGTGGACAACGAGGAAGCTATTTTCAATGTCTACAAGGTGATTCAACTTCCCTGCCATTATGAGGAGCTATCTATAATATCTGTTGTGTAGGTGGATGAGAAACTGATAGATCAGAGTGTATATCTAGATGATTCTCTAGAGAAAGCACTCATGTTGTTTGATAGCTTGGACATTGATGACAAGGTTGAGGAGATAATGCATATACTAGATGCATCATGTGTCTACATGCAAGGATTAAACGCCTTTGAGCCCTTAAATAGGCCGAGTGGGCCTCCACCAAAGCCGTCGATTGAAAAGGCTCCAAAATTGGAACTTAAACCCTTGCCCCCTCACCTTCAATATGCTTATTTTGGTGGTTCGGACACTCTACATGTTATTGTTTCCTCTGACTTGTCTAAATTGCAGGAAGAAAATCTGTTAAGAGTGCTACGTGAGCACAAGCGAGCTAATTGGGTAGACGATGTCTGAAATTAGAGGCATTAGTCCAACCTTCTACATGTATAAAATCCTCGTGGAGGACGGACACAAGCCAAGTGTAGATCACCAGCTCCGCCTAAATCCAATCATGAAAGAGATGGTAAGAAAATAAGTGATTAAGTGGCTCGATGCACGTATTGTATTTCCAATCTCTGATAGCAAATGGGTAAGCCCCGTCCAATGTATGACTAAGAAGGGGGGATGACTGTAGTGATTAATGAACATAATGACTTGATTCCCACAAGAACTGTGACTGGGTGGAGAATTTGCATAGATTATAGAAAATTAAAAAATGCCACTAGCAAAGACCATTTTCCCTTCCCCTTTATTGGTCAAATGCTTGATAGACTAGCTGCACAAGAATACTATTGTTTCCTAGATGACTATTCGGCGTATAATTAGATTGCTATAGCCTAGAGGACCAAGAGAAGACCACATTTATGTGTCCCTATGGCACGTATGCATTCAAGAGAATGTCATTTGGTCTCTGTAATGCACCTGCGACTTTTTAAAGGTGTATGATGGCTATTTTTACTGAAATGGTTGAAAGATTTGTAGAAGTGTTCATGGGTGATTTTTCTGTGTTTGGGTGTTCTTTTGATGATTGTTTAATGAACCTTGATGAAGTTCTTGCTAGGTGTGAAGAGACAAACTTGGTGCTAAACTAGGAAAAGTGCCATTTCATGGTACGAGAAGGTATAGTCTTGGGGCACAAGGTATCCAAAAATGGTCTGCAGGTGGACAAGGCAAAGGTGGAGGCGATTGTAAAATTGCCCCCACCAACATCCGTTAAGGTCATTCGTAGATTCTTGGGCCATGCAGGTTTTTATCGTCATTTCATTAAAGATTTTTCAAAAATTTCTTCTCCTCTATGCGTGCTTCTTGAGAATGATATCCCCTTCAAATTTGATGAGGCTTGTCTGAGAGCATTTGAAGAGATGAAGAACAGATTGGTGGCCGCGCCAATTATCATTGCCCCGGACTGGGCACAACCATTTAACGTGATGTGCGATGCGAGTGACGTCGCAATAGGAGCTATTTTGGGGAAAAGGAGGGATAAAATCTTTCACTCCATTTACTACGGGAGAAAAACTATGAATCCAACCCAAATGAACTACATTGTTACTGAAAAAGAGTTGCTTACAGTGGTGTGGGCATTCAACAAGTTCAGATCTTATCTAGTGGGAACCAAAGTCATTGTCTACATCGATCACTTAGCTATAAGGTATCTGTTTGAAAAGAGAGACGCCAAGCCGAGGCTGATTCGTTGGGTCCTCCTTTTCCAAGAATTAAACTTGGAGATCCGAGATCGAAAAGGAAAAGAGAATCAAGTGGCTGATCACTTGTCCAGAATAAATAATTGGAACCATGCGGCCGAGAGAGGTTCGATTAAGGAAACATTTTCGGATGAGCATTTATTGGCAATCACCTCTAGTGAAGCCCCGTGGTATGCATACTACATGAATTTTATTGCAAGTGGGGTGATGCCACTTGAATTATCACCTGATAATAGTAGAAGATTTCTACATGATGTGAGGCTCTACTTATGGGATGAGTCATTCCTGTATAATCAATGCGCAAATCAGTTAGTACGAAAGTGTGTTCCTGAGGAGGAGATGAATGCAATCTTGCATGACTGTCACGCTTATCTATATAGAGGTCATCACGGTGGGGATAGAACCGCCAAAAAAGTGTTGCAATTGGGTTTCTATTGGCCAAAATTATTTAAGGATGCACACGCCTTTGTTAAATAGTGTGACAAGTGCCAAAGAGCCGGAACATTCACGAAGAAGCACGAGATGCCTTTGCAAAATATTCTGGCAGTAGAGATCTTTGATGTTTGGGTGATTGATTTCATGGGACTATTCCCATATTGTAATGGTCACATATATATTTTTATAGCGGTCGACTATGTGTCTAAGTGAGTGGAGGCCATTTATCTTACTACTAATGACGCAGAGGTAATGGTAAACTTTTTAAAAAAACACATCTTCACATGCTTTGGGACTCTAAGGGTGCTGATAAGTGACGAAGGAACTCACTTCTGGAACAAGATGTTGAACAACATTCTACCAAAGTATGGAGTTAAGCATAAGGTTGCCACCACCTATCATCCCCAAATGACTGGTAAAGTGGAAGTGTCAAATAGATAGGTGAATCAAATTCTAGAGAAAATGGTAAGTGGAAACAGGAAGGACTGGGCCGGAAAGCTTGACGATGCATTATGGGCGTATCGAACTGCATACAAGACTCCCATCGGAATATATCCGTATAAGTTGGTTTATGGGAAGACGTGCCACTTGTCTGTCGAGCTTGAACACAAAACCTATTGGGCGATTAAAAAGTTGAATATGGACATGGACTTAGCCGGCGAGAAGAGGCTGTTACAGCTCAACGAGCCTGATGAGCTTCGATTGCACGCGTACAAAAATGCCAAATTGTATAAAGAAAAGACCAAGGGGTGGCATGGAAAGCAAATCCAACATCGCGAGTTTGAGCCAGCACAAGAAGTTCTCTTGTTTAATTCGTGGTTGAAGCTTTTCCCCGGAAAGCTTAAGTATCGATGGGCAGGACCTTTTGAAGTGGTTAGTGTAAAGCCTCATGGAGCGGTGGAATTGCTTGATACGAGTTCAGGTGGTACATTCTTGGTGAATGGGCAGAGAGTAAAACAGTATTAGGGTGGTGACATTGCGCGTCACAAGACTTCGATGGACTTGGCCGATGCGTGAAGAACGTGTTGCGTCGTGCCACGACGTAAATCAGGCACTTCTTGGGAGGCAACCTAAGCATTTTCTTTTATTTTTCGTAGTTTACTAATTTTCCCCAATCGTTTTGTATTTTTGATATTTTTTGGAGTTCCTTAAAAAAATTTAGTGTTTTTTGTAGGAATTAATTCTTGTATGCATTTATAAAAAAACAAAATTAGGTATGAGAAAACAGGGTGGATGCATTCCATCACCCTTAGTGTCCAAATATTAATGGCCAACTGCACGAGGCAGGGAAGAGCAGCCATTGCGACCAAGGTCGCATCCCACCAATGTGTTGGTAAACCAGGCGGACGCGTCGCGTCCGAGCTCACGCGCACATGTAAGTTTAATCTTTTAACACTTCACATGCCTAGAACACCAAATCCTTCTCCCATACCTTTTCTTCTTAAACCAGACGTATTTCCACAGAAACGAACCACCACTGCCTCCATTCCAAATGCCCAGGTATTTACTTCGTTTCATTCTCTCCCTCAACTCTTCTATCTTCTTGTATCCCTAAATAGTAGCAAAATCCCAACCCTAATTGCCCTAGGTTAGGTTTAACCCTATTGAGTTTACCACATGAAACTAAGAGGGGAAACTGGAAAGTTTTGAGGCTTTGCTAGCCGCCTGTGATTGGTTGTTGATGCTTCATGATGACAAACTATAATTTACGTCATCTAAAAAATTTTGGGAGGGTATTTGAATTGCCCAACTTTTAGAAAGCACTAGGCAAAACTGTTGCAATTAAATAAACTTAAGCTGTTACAATATATGTAAAGTGCAGAATGTTTCGAGTCTGTGGTAGACTATCCTAATAGGCTGAACATACAACACATTGCTTTACTTCTTGTACTTAAAGTGTTACGTCAAATTGAATTATGTGTGCTCTATGTTTACTGTACACCTTGCGATTAAGTGTGGGGTTGACGATATAGCTGAGCAAATTCATAGTGAGCTATTGTAAGTAATTGAACATGTTCTGAAACTTCACTGTCCTGCAAACTAATTGTTGACTTCTTTATTTTGCAGGTACAAAGGTTCCTAATGGCTGCAATAGGCAAAACTTACAAACAACAAGAAAGAGATAATGACAGGAAACCGCCTAAAAAGCGTACTGGAAAAGCGACAGGTGCTCCAAACCCATAGAACAAAAGAAAGCGGACTGAGAAAGCAAAGGCACTGCCGACTAGGCAGTTAATTGATGAATTAGAGCAAGAAGATGAGGGACCATTAGTAAGGAGGACTGTGAAAAGGGGTACCACAAACATATCAGCAAATCTGCCAAGCAATGGGATATAGTTCAGAGAATCGGTACCGTACCATACCAAATTCACCAAGCAGATTGATCCGAAAGATAAAGAGAAGCAGAAGACTACCCCAGAATCTAAGTCCGAGTCTGATTTGGACTATGAGCTCACAAATGTCAACATGAGCGACGAAGATGAGGGTGGACCAATTGACTGAGCTGCTTGGAAGAAGAATTTTGTTAGTGAAAAAGCATTTCGAGCTTATATGAAAATCCTGGATTCAAAGAAATATATTCACGAAAAGCCAATCAACATTGGAGCATTGAAGAACAATTATCCAGATCTTCTGAAATCAATTAGAGAGGTGCAACAATGGGGACCTATCTTGAAGGTCCATGGCAAGGCCAACCTTACTATTGTCAGAGAGCTTTATGCCAATTGGCGTCACTCACATGGTAGCATTGTGAGAGTACGAGGGGTGGATATCAATATCTCAGCTGAAGTTCTGAACGAGTACTTAGGAGTGCCACACATACCAACGGACAGGTATGACTCTATATGCAAGGAGCTTGATTACTCACATATTCAATCCGTCATATGCCCTACCAGGATATATGCAAATTGGAAGCATTGAAGTGTGGAGTACCATTCTCTAGCCAAAGAATTCATGAGCGCATTGGCATGTGTGGTGCTGAATTTCATCTGCAATCGCCTGATGTCGTGACAACACAAAAAAAACTGATGTCCCTTGATACTGAGAACTAGTGTTGTATGCTTTATTAGAGAGGATCCTGCTAAACTTGGGAGCCATCACCTATGACCAGATGCAGCGCATCAAGATGAACTACAAGTGGAGGTTGTTCTATGCGAAAATATTATCGGCTTAGTTGACAGAGATGGGAGTGCTATGGGACAAGGAGAATAATGACATCAAGGCTAAAGCTCCAAGATGGTATGATGTTACTCATGTACTAGAGCCTAACAAGGGGAGGGC